ATTTTGGAGAAGCCAGTATGAGAAGTATTCCAGATCATTACATACTCGAGCGATGGACGTTGGAGGCGAGAAAGAAAGTGGTTGTTGATGTTGATGGTTGTGTTGGTCCTTCAGCTGACAGTGAGAATGATGCGGGAAAAGGTATAGCAATGCGGTACCGAGAAACCACTACAATGTTGAATCAGCTAGCAACGAAACTGTCGATGGCCGAGGAGAAAGACTACGATAAGTGGATGGGAGTACTCAAGAAACTGTGCAATGAGGCAAACAAGGCATTGTCAAAGACTATAACTAGCGAGGACAGTAAGTGTATTCACTAATATTATTTGTAAATTGTTGGAGTTTAATATCATTGCATTTACTAAATTTTGTACCATTGTAGGACGGTCTATACCGATGACTGGGCTGACTTTGAAGGAGAAGAGTAATCCAAGGAGCAACGGTAAGGAACGTTACCAGTCTAAGAATGAAAAGGAACGCCGTCGATAGAAACGTTCCTATAGGAAGAGAATGAAATCAAATGAGGCGGTCACGCCGGACAACAATACTCAACCGGATGACCATCTTAGTGATTTGGATGATACTATTGCTCAATGGTAATGAATATAATGTTGGGGGCGTCGAGTGTGATCTATTGTGCTCTGATATTGACATGTGATTCCAGGATACGTTTTTTTGATGAAGTGGATATTAATCCACTTGTAACATATACCTGTCTGGGCTATCTGGATATCTATTATCAGTGTGCATGGATATTAGTAAATACTTCCTGGTTATCAGTATTATCAAAAGCAGGGGTTCAATAGCACCAATGATTACTTCTTTCACTAGCCACATGTGCAGGAACTTAGGCTTGGATAATATTTAGGGATGGATGCTTGCTAGGGTTGGATAAAATTTAGGGAGGTATGATGTTTTGCAGCAGGATAAATATCCGATTTGGGGTTGTGTATGATTTTTCTTAAATAGACAAATGCAAAAAAGGTCACATGAGTACAGTAGTAGCAATAGAGGTCACATGTGATTTAATATCTGTACATTTACAGTACGTACCAAGTTTGCCCAGACAAGTATCCATAACAAGTGGATTAATATCTACTGCAGCACAAAAACGTATCCTGGATTCACATGTCAATATCTACCAAAATATCCTCCATCCTAATGCAAACCATCATCCTCTCCTACTTTGCCTTCTTTTTCCCTTTCTCTTTCTGCATACTCCAATCTTTTGCTTTTTGAATTATTGCATCCTTGTGGCCGTTATAGTTCCATAACAGGAGGTTAGCTGCAATCCGTGTTCGTTGTTCCTCCACATGTTCCTGTTTGGGCCAACTGTTTTTACATTCCACCGGAAGGTGACCCGCCCATAGCTCCATGTAAAGGCAAGCGAATACACCGCAATCATCGTTGCCAAATTGTTGAGGAATGTCAGCAATGCTGAATTCCCACTCATCCAATTTACAGTCGACCCCCTGCTCTTTGAAGAACTCTGACACATACTCAAAAATAACTTTCCCCATTGGCCCATGATCCCTCTTAGCCCGAGTGGCATTGGGCTTTTGGCTTTCCAGTAGGAAAGTCTTCCTATTCTTCATGTCAGCGACATACACTCGGTAGTGATCATCTCGAAACATTGGAAAGAAGATCTGAAACACAATACAGTTAGTGAGTTAATCAGTGTCTAATATCCTAACAACCCAGATTAATATCTCAACAACCCAGAATAATATCCGACAAAGGAAAATAAAATATCCTATAAACCCAGACCAATATCAAGGAAAGTCAGAAAAATATTCAGGAGTTGAAGACACTTACATAATCACATTTTTCCAAGTTTTCTCGTTTCAGAAATGGATTATTCTTGTGCAAAGAAATATACCCCGAGATTCTCGCCTTGTCCATTTGTTGTTTTTTTTAGCATCATCGACGGCATGTTGCTATTTAGAAGAGACAACAATATCAAATTAGACATTTTCAACATAAATAGGATCTAAGTAGTGAAGATAATACTTACCACATAGCTCCATGGGAAGACAATTCTCTTCACCATCTCCTTACGTTCTTCTTGGTGATTTAGGAATTGCCCGTATACGTATAGGACTTGGCTATGAACCCAACTTGTACGCTTCAATGACAAGATTTGGCAACCGCTAAGCTTGCCCTTTGGAGTTTCCACGATAAATTTGTGACTGTAAAACACAAATGAAAAACCAGGTTAGTAGCCATGAATTTGACAGATTGAAATTGGCGATTAAAGAAGGAAACATGGTAAAAAACTAATATCCAAATGTATCAAACAATTATCCAGGAAAGCCACAACTAATATCATGCTGATCACAAACCAATATCCAGATATATCAAACGATTATCCAAGCAAGTCACAACAGATATCTTGCTGGTAAAAAACTAATATCCAAATGTATCAAATTATTATCGAAGCAAATCACAACTGATATCAAGCTGATCAAAAACCAATATCCAGAAATATCAAAGAAACAATCCAAGCAATACACAATGAATATCCAGAATCATAATAAATAATATCGGAAACATGACAACTTACTCATTTTCAGATGTGGTACTAAAGATGAACTCAACCACTTGCCGTGCCGTTTCGTCGAGTTTCGTCGAGAGAGACTTTGCCAGAACGTACACTGATGTGTCGATTGGGTGGTGTTTCGACCTCTCGAATGCAGGAGTTTTAATAGTTGCCTTCCATGCTTCTGGAGTGATAGAGTGCATGTACTCTGCCTCCTCCTGAGTCATAGGCCTCTCACTTAAGAGGATATCATCGTCGCTATCCTCCAGCATCCTCTGGCATGCTGCTGCTATAAGCTCTCCCTCTGATTGTGCTGATTCTCCTTGCGTCAGAACCTCAGTAGAAGGATCGAACACAGTAGCAGTATCCTCGGAAGGTATCTGCAAAACAATGCCAAAGGTATGACCATCTTCCCAGGCTAGACTCGTATCCACTGAATAAGAAAAAAAAACCTCCAAGAAGAACATAATAATATCCAAAGAAATCAAAACAAATATCCTGGCTTCCCAGTCTACTATCCACAGAAAAAGAAACATATATCCAGGAAGCCTAAGCTAGAATCCAAAGTGCAAAAAAAAAATATCCAGGAGTAATAGACTAATATCCAAGGAAAACAAAACAAATATCCTGGCTTCCCAGTCTACTATCCACAGAAAAAGAAACATATATCCAGGAAGCCTAAGCTAGAATCCAAAGTGCAAAAAAAATATCCAGGAGTAATAGACTAATATCCAAGGAAAACAAAACAAATATCCTGGGAGAACATACTAATATCCAATGAAAAAGAGAGAAATATCCAGGAAGAACAGACACTACTCGTATCCTCCCGAATTTACCGTAGACGGGGGTGTCTCTATACTCTCTTCAGCAGCAGCAGCGGTCTGGAGAGCAATCTGCATTACATTCACTTGACCAAAAATGGACTCCGTATGCTGAACCTCCGGATCAACAACAGGCACCTCCACCTCAGTACTCGACTTAACAACAGGCACCTCCACCTCAAGCTCGACAATTGACTCTGGCTCCACCTCAGTATCGACAACAGACTCCACCTCATCACTCGGCTTAACAACAGAGGCCTCAACATCAACCTCGACAACTGCCTCTGACTCAACCTCCACATCAGTAGTAGACTTAACTGCCTCTGACTCCACCTCAGGCTCGACCACTGTATCTGGCTCCATAACCACCTCAGGCTCCACCTGAGTCTTCTCACGGGTTCTCCGAGAGTACACGCGGCTGAACATATTCTTGCCTTTCACGTATCCCTCCTTTTCCATTTCCCCTTTGGTCACGGGAACCAATTTCGCCAATCTGGCCCTCTTCCTTCTTCGTTTTGGTCGCTGAAAAAACACGAGGCACCTGTTATCCAACTAATACAAAGTACTATCCAGACAAGAGGCGCCTGTTATCCAGACAGCACAGAGTAATATCCAACATATAGAAACTGTTATCCAAACCACACAGAGTAATATCCACACAATAGACGAATGTTATCCAGACAAGAAATAAAAATATCCAAACACTGTGCAACTGTTATCCAGACAGAAAAAAGTAATATCCAAACATTGAGCACTTGCTCTCCACACAGGACAGAGTAATATCCAATACATAAAAGAAACAGATCCTTAACAAGTAAACAAACTTTTGTTCAGCCATTCCAACATGGCAATTATAACATCTACTTAAACAGAAAAAATTGCAAAGTTCAATTGTTTCCTTCACGGCGCATAATGGCGACTCTCCAGATACTATCCCGCCTTGTTTCCCATACATCCATCACTTTTTCAGTCAATGACTCAAATGCCTTAAGCTACACATATATTGAAAAACAATTTAGTTCGCTACATGCACCCATGTCTATTAACCCACGATTTTGAGATGCAAAGAGAAGATCTACATACCTCATCGTCCTCAAGGGATTCCAAGTCAACATCCGCCCACCAATCAGTAGCAGGAGCCGAGCTGCTCGACCCTGAATCCCAATCGCTCCTGACACGCTCTGGACGGAAGCGGGATCTCACTTCCTCCCTTGACAACAACATGGAACCCATGATATATTTGTCAGCTACCTTGGGGATATTCGAGCACACCTTATCCACCCTTGGGTCGAACCAATAGCTGCAGGTCGGGATGGTTTTGGTGGCAAATCCTCTCACATTAAGGAAGTCTAGCAAATGGATCTACAAAAAACGTACAAAACAGATATCAGAAATGAAATGAACTAATATCCCTAGAATGTTAACTAATATCAACCAATGAAGTAAACCATATCAACAATGTTAAAGTAGAAGTAGAAGTTACCATTAAGAAGTGGATATCTCCGAGAGGCCATTGCTGTTTCCCACCCGCCCTAGCTTCAGCTTCATTTTCCTTAACCCGACCCAACTCAAACTTCAGATTACGGGCAACAAAACCACTCCAATTAAAAGTGGCAATGTCCTTGATAGACCGTCATTTACACATGTTTTTACCCCCGTTCTTACACCATTTGAGGTGTTGATTCTCGTGTTTTAGGCCGATTTCACGCTAGGTTGTGCTTGTTTGTGATATTTCAGGTCCTAGTACGTGAATGAAGGCTTAGGAGCGAGTCTGGGGTCGATTGGACGAAGAACGGACGAATGGCAAGGTTTTTGGGGAGCTGCACGGGCAGACCAGGGAAACGCACGGCCGTGCACGGGAGCAATATGGCCGTGCGCTTTATGCCGAGGCCATGCACGGGCAGACCCTGAAGATTGCACGGCCGTGCACCCTGGCCGTGCGAGTCGGGAAAGCCTGGTTTTAGAGCCTATTCCGAGCCAAAAGTGGGAGAGTCGTGTTTTCAGAGCAAAAACAGAGCCCTAGAGAGAGAAAGTACGAAGAACACACCTTAGAAGCTGTCTTAGAGCTGGATTTCATCGAATCGAGCTTGGAGATCGTCATAGGAGTGGAAATCATCGTCCCAGAGCAGATTATCCTCATCGTTATGAGTATGACTAATCCGATTCTTGTTTTCTCTTCTCTCTCTATGGAGTAGAACCCTTCTCTCACTTGGGTATGAAGAACCCTAGTTCCTTGTGTTAGGGATTTGATTGTAATGACTTGGGATGATATTACTGTTTGATTTTAATCGAATGACGCATGTTTAATGAATTGATTTGAGTCTGATCAGCTTTTCTCAATTTCTGCTGCAATCTGAGATAGATAGAATCTGATTAGGTTGTTAGAGCCTCTTCATTCGATAGTAGGAAATTGGCTATACGAGAGTTAGCCAGTTTACTGCTTTGTAATGGTGTTCTTGGCGCCAGTAGTGGAGTTCTGTGTTCATAGCCTCAGCTTTCTATCCCGGTGAAGACTAGTCGTCTGCCGGGTAGTTAGACTGAGAGGGCTTGGTCAGCTTAAGAGATTCCAAGCTACTGTCGGATCTTCCGCAGTCTAATCAACAGTAAATCAACCCAGGGAATTGCAATTGAACCTAACTAAGGGGCTAGGGGGACTCAATCCCGAGTGACTCTTGCCTGCTTTAGAAACCGAACAATTTACTGCTTTCTTGTTGCTTTTACTTTTCACAACAATCACTCGAACTAGTTTGCTAGATAATAGAGAATCACGGAGTAAGCAGTAGATCTAGACCCCGGGTTGATAATTGAACTTGCCTGTTACTGCATTCCCGGACTGCGATTACACTTGGTCGCAGTTTGGTGTTGTGTTTTGGCGTGTCAAGTTTTTGGCGCCGTTGCCGGGGACCCTCTAGGTTATTGGGGAAACGTGATAATTTGTTACTCTAGCTTTTTCTTTATTGCATTTTTCTTTTCCACCTGTGTGCCTTCACGGGTTGTTTCTGCTGACTGTGTGCAGGTAGTGCATGACCCGTAGCCAGTCGGGAGATCTACTGCCGTTAGACCAGGAGCTTGAACGAACTTGCAGGAACTTCAAGCGGGCTCTAAAGGCACGACTGGCTGCGGAGGAGGAGCTATCACAACTGCAGTTAGAAGAAGAAGAAGGCGAGATGGCTGATCCAGAGAACCGTGATGTGATCCCGGAGGAGGGGACCATGGGATCCTACTGGACCGCTAGGGCTGCAGACATGAGGTCAGCCATTCAACACCCTCATGTCCCAGCCAACAACTTTGAGGTGAGCACCTCAGTGATCACCATGCTGCGCGGTTCAGTGGTGTTCCGTGGTAAGGAGGGATAGTGCCCTCGATCACATCTCAGGCGATTCCACGAGCTCATCGATGGAATCAAGATCAATGGGGTACCAGCAGATGCCATCCAGCTGAGGTACTTCCCATTCACTCTGGAGGGGCAGGCCAAGGAGTGGCTAGACAATCGACCTCCGGGCTCCATCACCACGTTCGCCAACCTGGCGGACAAGTTCCTCACCCGCTACCATCCTCCATCCAAGACAGCTGATCTCCAGAAGCAGATTACACATTTTTCTCAGGATGAGGATGAGACCATTAGGGATGCTTGGGAGAGGTACACCAGCCTCTTTCTCAGGTGTCCCAACCATGGTTTCAACGATGCGTTCTAGGTGGGCACCTTCTATCACGCCCTCTTCCCGGAGGACAAGCAGCTGATCGATTCGGTTTGTGGCGGGAACATGCTGACCAAAACCCCGCCACAGCTGAATCAACTCTTTGAGGAGATGGCGGAGAACGGTTATGACTGGGGCACTGCCAGGAGATCGAGACGAGCACCTGGACGGGGTGTGCATGTTGTGGGCACCCAGTCAGCTGATTTGGTGCAGGTAGTATCGAAGCTGGTCTCAGCTATCGATCTTTCCGGGATGATTCCAGGGACCGGACAGCAGCAGGCGATGCTCTGCCAATGGTGCGAAAGCACCCATCATACGGTGGAGGACTGCCAGGCGATGAAGGAATCAACCACACCCCAGGAGCAGGTGAACTTCATCAACAATGTCAGGCGCAATGACCCCTACAGCAACACGTACAATGAGGGGTGGCGCCAGCATCCTAACTTCTCCTGGGCTGGGCAAAATCCCAAACCACCAGCTCCCCAGGGACCACCAGGCTTCCAGCGGCCACCATATCAGCCCAGACAGGGGCAATTCCAGCAGCAACAACAGTCTCTCTATCAGCCCATGCAGGGGCATGCTGCTCAATCACAGCCGCGGCCTTTCCAGCAGCCAGGTGCAGCCCCTGCTGCCCCAGTACAGAATGATCAGATGGCTGAGCTGCGGGACTTGGTAGGTTCTCTCGCCAGTACTAGTGCTCAGAAATTCAACACCTTTGAGCAGTTCATGGAGAAGGCCTCGGGTAAACTCCTGGCTCTTGAAGCTGGCCAGAGGAACACACAGGCCGTTTTGCAGGATATCCAGACCCAGCTGGGGAGCGTGGCCCAGGCAGTGGCTTAACGGGCTCCTGGTACTCTACCAGGGCAGACCATCCCTTACCCGCCGACCCCGGATGAGCGCTGCAATGCCATCATGACCAGGAGTGGCAAGATGACTGTTGATCCCCCTGCTCGGGAACCGGAGAGAGAAAGCCCTGTTGCAACATCTCCAGCGGTTGAACAAGAAGTAGAGAAGGAGGTTGAGGTGCCTGCACCTAAACCGCAACCAGTAGTGAAGGAGTATGTCCCTAAACTCCCTTTCCCTACTCGGTTGCACAAAGACAGGCTGGAGGCAGAGTTCGAGAACTTCATGGCCATGCTTAAGAAGCTGAATGTCCAAGTGCCCTTCCTGGAGGCACTATCGCAAATGCCGAAGTATGCGAAGTTTCTGAAAGAGCTTCTCTCAAAGAAGCAGAAGCTGAGTGAGCTGGCCACTGTGGAGCTCAGCGAGGAGTGCTCGGCTATTCTGCAGAACAAGCTTCCGCAGAAGAAAAAGGACCCAGGTAGTTTTACTATCCCGTGCTCTATTGATAAATTGCATGTAGAGAAGTCCTTGGCGGATTTAGGTGCTAGTATCAATGTTATTCCATATAAATTGTTCATGAAACTAGGCCTAGGTGAACCCCGTGCTACTAGGATGACCCTTCAATTAGCTGACAGATCTGTAGTGCATCCTAGGGGTATAGTGGAAGACCTTCTGGTTAAGGTTGGCAAATTCACATATCCTGTGGATTTTGTTATCCTGGACATCAGTGAGGACACAGAAGTGCCTCTTATACTGGGAAGGCCTTTCCTGGCCACCGCCAAGGCTCTCATAGATGTGCATGATGGGACCTTAGTTTTGAGGGACGGCGAGGAGCGAATAACGTTTTCAGTTGCTAACACTATACCTGCTTCGTTACCTCTGCATGTTGTATCTCACCAGGAGCACGAGTCTGTCGTGTATCCTTCTGTGCTGCCTATTTTGCAGGACCCGCCTCCCACACCTTCGCCGCCACTCCGGAACACTCCGTCATCCAAAGAACAGATCAAGGAGGAGTGGCGGCCGAAACTGCAGGCAGCTAAGCCCGCTCGAACGAAAGCCGGAGACCACTATGAGCGGGTCCCGCCCCCACCTTGGCCATCCGAGTATTCACTCGCTTGCATCCTACCGGATGGCCAAGTCGAGCTGGCAAATGCAGGTGGCCACATTCGTCGCGTGCATGGCCACCATTTGAAGCTGTACCTCAAGAGCGATGTGGATCCGCTCTTGAAGGCACCTGATCCTACACTTCCCTGAGCATCCATACTGGCGTCCAGCTAAAAGACGGTAAAGAAGCGCTTGTGGGGAGGCAACCCCACCGAGGTTTGCATTTTCTTACTCTTTTTCCTTTGATTTTGTGTGTTTTTGAGTCTTGAGACGTTGATCCAGAGTCAAGTGTCGTTTTTGAGTGAAAACAGGTTGATTTCGGGACTCCAGCAAGTCGCACGGCCAGAACCTCAACTCGCACGGCCGTGCGGGTATTCCCCCTTGGCCGTGCGAGCTCTCGGTAAATGTTGCACGGCCAAATGAGCAAGGTGCGCGGATCTTCGGCCAGGCCGTGTCGGCCTGCACGGGCAAAAGCAACCCCTGCACGGCCGTGCGCCAGCTGACGGTGATGATGGTGCGGCTGGCGCTGCTGATGATGACGCGTTCATGAACGACATCGACCTCGACGATCTTGGCAACGAGTAGGCTGTACTCGTTGCTCGTCTCAGTGTGTTTTCTTTTTCATTTTCGACTTTTGTGTGTTTGCTCCATGTGTGCGGAGCTTGAACTTAGAGTCGTTTGTTTTTGTTTTTGGTTTGTCCTTTGTGGTTTGATGTAGCCGTCTGGGCTAACACTTATCCCTAACGCACAGTGTGCTAGTGTGTTTCTGGTGTTCGATTTGTGAAGCATTGTCCGCTATCCTGTTTGTTTCTCGCTGACTGGTCCACTTCCAGTCCCCCAGTAGTGTTCTTATCCGGTAACATCGTTCCCCTTCTCTTTCCCTCTACTCCATTGAGGGCAATGTCGTGCTTAAGTGTGGGGGGGTGCTTTGTATCGGTTGGAATATTTATGATGGTGCTTGGAGCCTAGTCCGCTGTCCGAATCTTACGATTTGAGGGCTCCAAGTACTGCTGTTTGCTCATATTGGCACTGTGTTTTGATGGATGAATTGATTGGTTTTCGGATTA